GAGAGAGAGAGAGAGAGCGCCAAACTAATGTCAACCAGGAGGCCATTCCAAAGTGGCGGCACTGCCACAAAGGAGAAACTTCCCAGAATTGAGGAACCACAATTCTTTTCACCTCCTGGAAGTGAGGAACCACAAGCTGCTTCTTCTGGAATAGTTGTGCAGCTCCAGCTGATTCTAACTGGAGAAAGCCGTCTTGGAAGCCACCAAGTGCCAAGCCATAGAGGGTTCTATTGATTGAAACCAGTACTTTAAATTGAACTTAGAGAAGCTTATTGGCAACTTGTGTAGGAGTTGTAGCACATACATCATGTGCTCCCAATGACATCAATTAGGGAATACAAAGGCTGCTGCAATCTGGATGCTCTGCAGCTTCCAAGTAGGTCTTTAAACAATCCCAAGTACGACATGCAAGAGAAGGCTAGTCGGCTAATGGGAAAGGCATGAGCCATTTTAGTGAAGTTCTTTCACCCCAGGTAGGGCCTTTGCTAGTGTACCAACCAAAGCCAAGCCAAGCCTCCATGGCCACAGTCTTCACCTTCTCTTTGAGAAGAAGTCCAAGAGGATCTTTAAGTTGCAGACTTGATTCTTCATGGGTAGGAGCCCACCGAAGCCTTCAAGAGGCTTCCTTAAAGGCTCCAGAGGGCAAAAAATAACCCTACGAGCAAACCGGAAGTCACTTCCGGGTTCCTCATAGAGTTGTTTTTTGCCCTCTGGAGCCTTCAGGGAAGTCTCCTGAAGGCCCCTGAAGGCTCCGGAGGGCTAAAACCTCCCCTATGAGCAAACCGGAAGTCCATTCCTGAACTTCCGGTTTGCCCATAAGACCAATTATTTGTGCTCCGGAGGCTTCAGGGAAGCTCCTGAAGCCTCCGGAGGGCCTCCAGGGGTGGGGCAGGGAAGGCTGGTTTTGCCCTCCCCAGGGTCCTATAAAGCCTCTGGAGCCTGGGAAGGGTGAAAAAAGCACACTAAAAATGGAGGGGAGTGCTGGTCATGTGCACATGCACGCTGGGGTCGTGTGCATAGCATTATGGGTGTGGCACACCCACGCATGACACCCCCCCTCCGCGCCCCCCGCTTTTTGCACGCGAGCCACAAAAGTTTCGCCATCACTGGCCTAGGTGTTTGGGGCGGGAGGGGGAGTGACAAAATGTTTCTTGTGATCTTCTGTTTAATATTGCAACATACATTACGGCATTTTGGCATCAGTCTGGCGAACACGGATACTTATAGTGTCCAAGGAAGTATTTTGCCTTAGTTTGCAAAAGTTGTATTTGTAAATGTTATTGTATTCCTTACATGAACAAATTAAATGCAATGTTTATATATAGAGAAATGCCTGGCAATTGTAATATTAAAGATTGAATTGCACGGGGGGGTGGGACCATACCGCCAACATTTAGAGTTGTGTCTAAGGGCTGGCCATGTTTGCCAATAAAAGGACACAGGCAGTTCTTCCATGGGGCCTGGTGTGGAAATGATTCTGCCTGTTTAACGAACAAGGGTGATTCTGCAGTACTGATATTTCACTCTTCTTTTCTCCTTTTCTTTTGGGGGTTAGTAGATCACAGTGGCACACTCAGTGTGAGCATACCTTTAAGTGCTCCTCTGCGGGTTTCCCTGGGAAGAACTTTGACCATTCCCTGCTACTTTATCGACACTTTGGGGCCGGTCACCACAGCTCCCAACACCCCACCAGTGTCCCCAAGGATCAAATGGAGCAAACTATCAGAAGGCAAAGAAGTTAGCCTTCTAGTGGCCATGGACGGGCAGGTCCGGATCAATAGTGCCTACAAGGAGTCTATCTCTCTACCCAATTATCCTTCCATACCAACTGATGCTACTCTGGAAATCAAGACACTCCGATCCAATGACACTGGGATCTACCGCTGTGAAGTCATTCATGGTATCGAGGATAGCCAGGACACTGTGGAGGTGAAAGTTAAAGGTGAGTGTTCTGACCTAGGCTTTCCCCAGCAACACGAAGCCGAGTCCTCATCCCGATAAACCCCTTTTATTTAATTTACAGTGAATTCTCCAACAAAGTCCCAGCCCACAGTCTTTCAAGATAGTTCACAATTACCGGCCATTATCAGGCTTGGAGAGTGGCCAGGCTGATATCTTTTAGACACTGCAAAACTTGGCAAGAATGCAGGAATGAACTAATTATCTCCTGCAAACTCCACTCCCCTTTCGCTCCTCTTTTATTTACTCTGGGAGGGGCCATTCACCATCTACCTGTGGCCTTACTCTCAAATCGACCCCTGTTCTTTAGCTGTTCCCTTCGTCTGGCAACTCTGCGCATGCGCACACTGGGAACAGG